CATACAAGCATAATACTCTCCTACCAAAGGGCCTTCTAAGGCTCATTTGAGTGAGAGATGAAGCAGCCGCCCATACAACCCCTTCATATATACATGTAAGAGATCCTTAAGTATTCCTAAGATAAGATTTTTCACTATATTCAATTAAACCCCTACCTAAAGTTACTCTAAGACTCACCTAAGTAAGACATGAAGAAAACGCTCATACACTCTCTCCAAGCCCACCTAAGCAATCCTCAAAGCTACCCTAGATAAATACTATTTCAACTACATGCATTAACTTAAGTCAACTATGTTCATTAAGCCATTTAAGAGACATTCAACAATTAAGGACTTTCACATAATGGTTTTCGAGAAGATCTAGGGAACCTAAACCCTGGCACCTCCAAAGTCTACTCGTGTCATGTCTAGATAATGTCTCATTCCACTACCTAAACGTTGTAGAACTATCCAATACTAAAATGTATCCCACATGATGAGAATAGACAATAAACGACATAGATCATACTAGCTAGGCATGGAATTCAGATTCTACTCTACTCAGATGGAGGGTGTTCTACTTGACACGGGTAGAACTAGGATACATCCCATGTAGGCACATGATTAAGTAATATCAAGGGTTTCTTTGCACTCTAGTCTCATCTCAAGAAGAGTCACTCCCCAAGCATACTCAATCGGTGCTAGCCCTTGTTCTCATAGAGTAGTTCAATCACAAGGGCATATGAAGAGGTACCATATAAAAGTCATAACCAAATCATACAACACCTTACTAAGGATGGGTCCACTAGGGCTGCCACATAATGGTCAAATAGGATAACTCAATGACTTTCTTAAGGATGGTTTCATACCATTACATCCAACCTACCCCTAAGTCCATCATTTACACAAGAAGGATACCATTACGAATTTCGACTTCAAGGATATCACAACCTTCTTTCTAAAAGGTTCCAAGTAAATGAACCTCTTAACCATATTCAAGGTCATATTCTAATCACACATATACATACATGACAAATGTGCTTTAGCTTACTAAGTCAAGGATCATATTCATATTCTTCATGTATCAAGTAAGGAACATAGATCTACCGAAACAAGACACACTTCATAACCATCATATCACATGTACAATCATAGCTAAGTAGCACATAGAGTCAACTAAGCCAACTACAAGTCACCCTATACACTCCTATAGAGCCATCGATACAATCCATCACAAGACTCATATAATCAACTAGGAAGATTCATACTTCAATATTAAGTATACACATATACAACATCACTATAACCTATCATGATCACATATAATCACTTAGAAGAACAGATGCTTTACTTCGCATATCCACATAAACCATATAGACCTTCACAATAAGCACATATTCAAGTTATAACATGATAGAATCATAATTCGTAAAGTAATGCTGACGAGACCACATTATTCACAATTCATAAAGTAATGCTGACAAGGCAACATTTTTCACAATTCATAAAGTAATGCTGACAAGGCCACATTATCCATAACTATATCACATAAGCACCGCCACCATAAGTGGACCATACCAAACATCACAATTGAAATACCTATACTACAAAATATAGAGAAAGTTAGGTCAACATACCACCAATCCAATCTTAAAAACTCCTATCCATAGCCAATTCAACTAATTCAATTCACAAAGGCTCTTACCAATATCCATAGTCATCAATTCAAACCAATAATCAAACTATACAATGAATCAAGATACTACAATATAAAGTTCATCAATTTAGGACAACCTATATACAATTCTAACATGCTTCATACATAATTCAATAGCCCAAAGTAAACTACACAAGAAATCAATACAATAGAGACATGGTCAACTCATCCATAATATATCCAAAATAAGAAATTCATGATTTGCATGGGTTCATGGAGTTTTTAGTCTAAAATTATCAAATTAACATCAATTAATTCATAAATCATTGATTCAAAATGTTTTATGCAAAAACCCATGGCTAGATATCAAAATAGGAGAATTTATCCTTTGAGAAATCTTAGAAAACACTTTGAAGTTTGGCTCCTTGAAGAAAGAAGATTCAAGGATGAAACACCATACCTTGATTGATTAAAATCCACAAAATTGAACGAGAATCGATGGATAAATCAAGTTCCAAGCTCCCTCCTAGCTTCAAGCTCCAATGGAGTTCTAGAGAGTTCTTCGTTGGGTTTGAGTTTAGGTTTTGATTTTGAATAATGAACTAGACTTGGGGTTCTAGAATTATAAATTACTCAAAATACCCATAATACCCTTAAATAACCTCCCAAACCATTTTTAGAACACTAGGTGAAAAATCCAATTTACCATTCCTTTGGCCGAGACACCTACAGAAAATCTGCAAGTGCCAATCGACGGACCAATGTACGGAGCGTAAATCCATCGACGGGCCATACTTGCAACCATGATTGGGTCAGAGACTCAACAATTGGGAGATTAAGCTCCCCAATCTAAGTGGCAACCTACGCCCTTAATCGGCGGGGCATTGACTGCCTCCGTCGTTTGAGACTGTTTTTGACAGTCTTGGCTCATAAGTTATTGGTCTTTGGGGAATTTTTTCCGTATGTTTTCAACCCAAATGCCCTCCTAGATGTTAGGAACCTCCCACATCAATTTCAACGAAAACGAACACGTAAAATATGCAGAGGCATATCTATACATACAAGCACGTCTCAAGTCAAAACTTTCAAACGTTATGGACGTTTGACCTCCAAACATCACCAAACTTTAGATGCTGCCTCAAAACACTAATATAAACCATTTTAGGACTTCGAAACCTAAAGACAAACATGTTAGTCTCTAGCTTCACCTAATTCCTTTTAGAGGTTTACATTGTTGATGCCGCCACCATTTCCTCAGTACCCGCAACCACCATTATCCCATCCTTCTCTTTTTTCTCTTATCTTCAATACCAAAAATAAAAGCTAGACAAAAAGTAAAAATATGGAGATGGGTTCAGCTAAATGAGTATCTGAAAAAGCTCAATTCCATCATTAACTATTGAAGAGAAGGAATAGAAATGAATTAATTTGAAAAATAATTCAGTTTCAAACAAATAGATTTAGAACTTTCTATTTGAAGTTGGAAAATCTCTTCAGAAACACTTCAATTCCACTAGTAATGGTTGAATATGTTTCAAATCTAAGATGAAAAAGGATAAAAATGAAGAAACATATTAGGGTTTATTAGATTGACTACGACAACGACAGTGGGTGGATGAAAATACTTTGAGGAGGTTTAAGGGTTGACGGTGGATGAACATGCCTTTTTCCTTTCTTTCTTTTCTTAATAAATTTTAATGATTATTTTAACTCAAGATGCCACATGTAGGTCATTAATTCATCAATTCACCACGTCATCGCGAATGTGTTACACATATTTATACTGTTAGCTGATTGTTTAAAAAGTGTTCAAATAGTTCAAATTTGAGTTGGTAGAGGTGTACGTTCAATAGATATAAGGTTAGGCTGAGGTGTCCAATTGAACTAAGCGAACATTTTAAGTGGATGTCAATGACTTAAGCCTTTAATATAATTTTATGATTGCAATTGTACACCCAAACAATACATTTCTAATTACATTGTGATAAACAAATATGTCAGCATAATTACTAGGCTGGTAATTACTACCCTACTAATTAAACCAATTCCAATTACTAGGTGACTTTCCAAGCAGACACTAAGAAGTGTTAAAAATATAAAGAAGTAAATATACGAGAAAGCTAATAAAATAATTGTTTTCAAAAAAAAAGAAAATAGTTGCAGCGAAAAAGTACTATTATGATGCTAGCAAGGGTAGAACTCATGAACTAAAGTAAATTTTGCAACCTGTTAACCACTACACCAAATCCAATCAAATATGTTCTGTATACAATGTAATTTTTTAACAAAGGTGTGTCGCTTCACACCTCTCGGGTAAAGATAGCCCCGACCCTGATAAGAAGATTCCACGGGTTCAAATGGTGCGCTGAATTTAAGTCAAACTAATGACCTATCACAAGCTGCCAAGTGTTTAAAATAAGTTGTCTTAACTAATCACGAGCAACTTAAGCATATAAAATTTATGATAAATTTGATTATACACATGAACTAATTAGACTAATTGAAGAAAATTCATTCACGCTTAAATTGCTTACCCCTTACGACTATCAATTAAAGATTACATATTTTTTTTATGAATTCCACAAACATTGTAGCAATTATCATCATCAACCACATAATTCTTCAAGTGAGTGGTCGATGGAGTTCTTCTGGAGATCAATCTGGAATGATGAAGCACTACTCCACATTTCAAGCAATCAAAATACATCTCTACGAGGTCTGAATCATTTTGCAATTTGATTAGCATTCAACTACAAATCAAATAGAAGTTGTTATAAAATTATAGCTAACAAAATTGATCATAAAATTATTTTTTATTTTATTTTAATTTCAGTTGCTTTTTAGCATTTATTTGAATTCACATATTAGAAGATCAATTTTTGAGATTGACGCTCCAAACTAGAATATTTCCATACCTAGAATGTAAAACCCAACCACAGACCCTTGGTAAAGATGAAGGGATCCCAATCATCCCACGACCCAAATTGATATTTGATTTTTCTTATAATTGGTGTGCGATATCAACATTGAACTCGTTTAGTTTAAACTCGCGTGATATGACTCTTTCTAAGGGTGATGCTTCTAGTTAAAAAAATATATGCAAAAGTCGAACTTAAAATCTCTAGACAAAGATGAAGATTAGATTCAAAACTCTTTGCATACTTACTTGATCAAATTTATTGTACGAAACTTGTCTAATACATCTCCATGTATGATAACAATAAAAATATAGAAAACAAATTTCATACGTGAACAGAAAAAAATTATATATATCGACTCTAAATTGCAAATTGAAGAGTATATTTTCCCTAATTCTAAAATAGAAGGGGAGTAGTATAATTTTGAGTTGAAGTTGGAGGAGTAAAGTAAAAAATAATAAAAAGCAAGCAATCCCAATAAGGCCCTCCTCGGAGAAACATTACCTTTGTCCTCTGTTGGCTCCGACTTGTCATCAATTTCTACTCTGAAACCCTAATTTATACTCCCAACCTATAAACGAAGAAGAATCACATCCAGTTGATTTAAAGTCTTTCAATTGATTGCAGTTAGCCCCAAGATTTTGCAGGTTTTTCAGCCATGGACGCTCAGAGAGCTTTGTTGGATGAACTGATGGGCTCAGGTATGCTTTGTTCAACCTTAATTGAAGAAATCGGTGTCCCATAGAATGAGTTATTCTTGAATCATTTGTTTAGTTTTAAGCTTAGTTATCTTTGATTTGCTGTATAGAGTAGAGTTTATATACAGAAAAGTACCAATTTTGATATGTTATTATTTTTGAATGTGTAGCTCGGAATTTAACTGAAGACGAGAGGAGAGGGTTCAAGGAAGTGAAATGGGATGACAAGGAAGTCTGTGCATTCTATATGGTTCGATTTTGCCCTCACGATCTGTTCGTGAATACTCGTAGTGATTTGGGTTAGTTCCGAAATCCTAATCCTGTATTTGGTTGATGAAAGAAAAAAAAAACTTTTGTTGTGTTTGAAAAAAAATTTGTTTCTTTAATCATGGATATGGTTATCTTGAAACAACTCCTGATTGTTTTTACTGGTTTTTTTATACAGGACCCTGCTCGAAAATTCATGAAGCGAAGTTGAAGGAAAGGTAAGACTGTATCTCCCTGGGGCCTGCAATGCTTGTTCATTTTTTTCCGTTCAAACTGAGATATCTTTCAGGCCTTCATGCATAAAATCTGTTAGTTTTCCTCAACACTTCCTTCCCCAACCAAATTTTAAATTGAACATTGATATATTGTTGTCTGCCAGTATCACTTCTGAGGTTTCTACCTCTACTTTTCAACTCGAAGCACATGATGAAATGGTTATTTGTTATATTAGCTTAATTGGGTCAAATAAGTTCATCAAGACACAGGAATGAAAAAAAGTTACTTGGTGTATCTGATTTAATACGGTACTACCATTATTGTAAGAGTTAAATGGTCTTTTGATTGACTACTATATTTGCGGACATTTTCAAAATATTTTTATTTCTAAAGTTTGTGCTTTATATTTCTTTTAATGTAGTTTCTACAAATGAAAGTTTTATTTTAAATAGAATTACAGTAATTTATGAATTAACCTTGTCGAAGAAGAAGATTGTTTAACCCTATAGTCAAATCTTCTCATTATTTTTAGGATAAAAAGAGTAGTTTTTATTACAAAGTGTCTAAACATGATGGATGAAGAAATAAATGTTTAAAGCTCACTTGGTGGGTACTCCTGGCCAGGGGTGTATCTACCTGGAGCATTCCGGGTGCTCGAGCACCCATTGACTCTGACAAAATTTTCTATATCTATAGAGAAATTGTGAAAAACGGATATAAAAAATAAATAAGCACCAATTAAACAAAGAAAAGTAGTGGCTGCTTTGATTCTGGCTTTAATGTTAGGGCGTGTAAGTGCCTACTAGTCACGAGTTCGAATCTCTCTAGCAGCATATTTTTTGCACCTTCTCTTATTTCAATTAAAAATTTTCAGTTCTTTTTCTCTCCTTTTTATTTTTTGAATTTTTTTGCAGTGTCATTTACCTTTTTAATTGTTTCTATTTTAAAAAACTTTTGATCTCTTTTTCTTTAGCGTAACTTGTGCTTATAAGTTATTTTTGGTGATGATTATTTAATCGTTGTTTTATCATGTACTTGTCATTGATGTGCTCATGTTGCTATACATTTATACTTTGTGATCACAAGCAATTTTATGTTAAATAAAGTGAGCATCCACGACTTCCAAATCCTGGATTCGCCGCAGTTCCTCGCACCTTCAAACTTGTTAAGATGGGTTGAGGAAATGGAACAATAGTGGGTGGCTTAGTGCTACTTATCCCTAGTCTCGTGGACACTTTTACGTGAGAGAGAAAAGAGACTGGGGTCTTTAACAATAGAGACGCCACTTGTCTTAATTTACCAAGGTTGTTTATTGCCTAGTCTTGAAATTTTCTCCTAGCTGGAACTTTTTTCTTCATGAATTAAGGTATTTCTTGCCTGTTAGGCTAAAACTTCTGGGAAGACGAAAGTGTTTTTTTTTTCTTCTAAGAAAATGCTTATTTTAGAGAATCGAGGTGCTTGGACAAGCTTTTACGGAAGAATAAGTGTTTTGAGCAATAACAGAATAAGTTTTCCAGGAAGCTGGAAAAACAAAGTAGCTTCTCTATAGCAGCATTTTCTGAAAGCTTGGTCAAGCATAGTTTGTTGCTATTATATTGGCGAAATAATTTTTTTCAAATTGATTAGCCAAAGAGAAACTGCAAATCTCCAAAACTACTTTTTTGAAATGTACTTGTGATTTGTGAAGTACTTTTCAAAATAAGCTGATTTTGGTAGCTTGATCTAACAGACTATTCATTCAAAAGACATCAAGGAGATGCACATTATGAAGGACCAAAGTGACAGAATTGTCCACCCCTTCCCTATGTGGTAATCTAATACCAAGGAACTAATGAAGTCCAAAAAATGGTCAATGTAATTAGAGGCCCGGGGGGGGGGGGAGGTAATCTTAGTCCAACAAAAAAAGGTTAAGCAAACATCTGGAATGGTCCAGAGTTGAGATTCCATCAAACATATCCGATTCCGTTTAGTCCACAAACACTAAAAAAATAACTGCTCGTATCATCACCCAGAGTACTTGGTGCTCTTGTCAACTTCCCATAGGTTTCAGGCTTCCGGCTTGTATATGCTTCTCCAAGTTGGAACTCTTGAACTACAGTTCAGCCAGATGGTTCCAAGATGCTTGGAGCTTGACACTCTTTCTCCTTTCTCAGTATGGTTGACGTTGCTGGTGAAATCTACTGTCAATTGGTTGTCTGCCTGAAATTCATAGAAACTACGTTCATATCTTAGATGATTGATAACCAAATTCTGATGCAAGATTTAATGGATATGACTGTTATATGATATTTGATTCAAAGTAAATAATGTGAAGTTATGCTCTGCTACTTCCTTTAAAAGGATTGCTAGTTCTCAAAGTTTAACTTAATGAAGCTGCAAATTATGTACAGACAAACAAGATTTCAATCTTGTGGTAGTTAGCATAAGCAGGTTGAACTTCTTGGACATCTAGTTTCAGATTAGTTCTTTTGTGTGGTTACTAGTAAGATCATCATACCATAAGTTCTAAATTTTCATGCTAACAACTATCTGTGAGTTATGTTGGAATTATGATACTCGCATTACAGTAGCCATACTTGAGCTGGAAAGAGTGAAATGGAAGCCTCAAAGCTACTTTTGTTTGTAGGCAACTGAGAGCAGCAGTTAGAATTCTTTACGTGTTGAAAAGTTCCTCATAGAGTTTGAACTTGTTCACGCTCATCAGTTACCATACCTGAAAAGGTGTTTCAAATTGGTTAAATTACCTGTGATAGTACCCATGGAAAGGTCAAAAACCAGTGCAAACTGATATAGGATTATACAAGTCTTGTATGACTCTAATGAGCAGCGTTCTTTAGCTTCCAATGTTATTTCTTGTTTGAAAGAGTGGTAATTTCCTTTAGGTTCCAGTGTATTGCCAATCTCAATGACTTCCTTGTTTGTTGCTCTGTATCAAGGACAATCAGCAAATCCAACATCTTTTATATTATGCTACAGCTTTGGTATTGATGCAGCTGCATGTTTTGACGGCCGGCTCATCGTGAAGCATGACCTTGACATTTTACTTGACCACAAGGCATTTTGGGAGATTTTGATCACTGGTCTCCTTAATGATAGAAGTACCAGCTTATACCACGTATATTATCAGTTGGTTCATATCTTAGGGGTCGTTTGGTGTGAGGGATAAAAATAAATAGTCCTGGGATAAAAAAATAGTCGAGGGATAAAATTTTGGTGTCTTGTTTGGTTGCCGTGTTTTGGATAACTTATTCCACCATTTATACCATAGTGGTGATAATTTATCCCCCATATATATGGTAGGATAAGTTATCCCCACCATTTATACTATAGTGATGGGATAATTTATCCCATGGTAGGATAAGTTATCTCAGGATTTGCTAAACCCAGGATAATTAATCCTGGGATAACTTGTTCCCAACCAAACGACCCCTTAAATCATTTGCTGGTGTACTAGTCCTCCCTATTTGTATGGAGATCTTCTAATGCTGTAGCTTGAGTATTTTTACCTGCCTCTCAAAAAGTTGCTCTCTCTCTCTTTTTTTTTTGAGCATGCAAGATTATTTTGCATTATGATTTCTCATTTGTGCACTACAATTTCATTGTTCTGAAAGATCTTTGTTTCTTCTTCAGTTTTGAGAAATCTCCAAGACATGATTCTTATGTTCCCAAGTTTGAAGCAGAACTAGCCCATTTTTGTGAGAAATTGGTAGGTTATTGACTGACAAGTTTCACAGTGCTGTTTCAACATGTTCTCTGAATAAATAATTGCCATATACTTAATTTGTGGGTTTTGTAGGTGATGGACTTGGATAAGAAAGTGAGGCGTGGTCGAGAACGCCTTGCTCAGGAGGTTGACGTTCCCCCACCTCCTCCAATATCAGCAGAAAAATCTGAGCAGCTGTCTGTCTTGGAGGAGAAGATTAAGAACTTGCTAGAACAAGTGGAGTCTCTTGGTGAAGCTGGAAAAGTTGATGAAGCTGAAGCTCTGATGAGAAAGGTTTGGCTGAGGGTCCTACTATTCGTTTTTGTCTTGAATTTTGCTATATCGTGATGGTATAGTCTTCCCACAGTATCTGAATTCTTGATACTCATGTAGGTGGAAATGCTTAATGTTGAAAAGACTACCTTGACTCAGCAATCCCAGCAGAACAGTGCACTAATGATTGTACAAGAGAAAAAGATGGCTCTGTGCGAGACATGTGGTTCCTTTCTTGTTGCAAATGATGCTGCAGAGAGAACTCAGTCTCACGTCACTGGTAAACAGCATGTTGGTTATGGGATGGTTCGAGATTTCTTAGCTGAGTACAAGGTATTTCTCGCCAAATTTTCCTTTTTATTTCCTTGTAAAACCGCAGAATGCAACTTTATTTTTCTGCCTTTTGTTACAAATGATATTCTTTGCAATGGACTGTAAAAATGTTGCTTCCAGGCTGCTAAAGAGAAGGCTTGGGAAGAGGAAAGGTTAGCCAGGGAGAAAGAAGCAGAAGAAAGGAAAAAGTTGAGGGAGAAAGAACATGATAGCAGACGACGAAGAAGTGAGTCATCTGACAGGGACAAGCACAGAGATCAAGATCATGACAGGGAACGGGATCGCTACCGGGGAAGAGATCGCGACCTTGACAGAAATGGCAGAGGAGGGCGTGATTTTGATAGGGGATCAGGTTGGAAACATGGGAGTTCCAGGAATGGGAGAAACAGAAGCAGGGAGAGATACCGGGGACGTGATAGAAGCCGGTCACGGTCTCCTATTAGACATGGTTCCAAGAGGTCCAGGAGTCCAGTTCACAAGTACTAGAGGATTATAAAACGTAGATGTCTGAACTTTGAAAATTTGAAGAGGTAGACTTTTTTATAACTCACCAAATTCATGAATGTATGTGTTGGAGTTCGAATTGCTATTGTTATCATGTGTGAAAATGTTGTTTTTTTTCTTTGTGACTATATCTCACTCTCTTATCATCAATATAATTAGTGGTAGGTATAACTTGATTGTGGTGACTCTTTAATGATCTATTTTGGTTTAACGTTGTCAGAGGGTTCTGATCCCCGCTCATCTGGGGTCACCTATTCTCATGAAGTTAAAAAAACAGATTCATTAGTTATGCATGGATAATGCTGCTAGAGGGAGATCGTTGGATGGTTATTCCTTGAGTGAGGTAACAAATTTTATTAATTCCGGATTGCGGAATGAGTTGCTGACCATGGTTGGTTTAGTTCCTTTTATCTTTTGGTCATTCAGATGATAAAACAGAATCTTTTTCATTTGGTTATTCAGATGGCTCTAGTGTTAATTGTTATTGCATATTTGGCGTGTCAATGAGCTCATGAATATATGAAAGGCTCCATGTAGTTTGTCTCTCATCCGAGCTCTGATAGGTAACCCTCTATTTTGACTTACTTACCGTCCCTCTTGTGTATAGAGCTGTCTGTATTCATGCAGGCACCATTGTGGACATAAGGCAGCTAATGATTCTAATGTGCAATCAACAACTCATCATTCAATAGGTAATAATTGTCATCAACACTAAACACATGCATATTTGTCCACTTGGGTTAGTACCTGCAGGCTTCATTCATGTATACATAAACTCAGCTCTGACTAAGTTCTAGAAATGTCTGTCGGTGAAACTATGGAAACTGTGTCTAGACTAGATAGTCTAAGGTCTGTGCTGAGCACAAATCCAATATGGTGATCATAACTGTGACCAGACATTGAAGAACATTTTGGGAGCAAAGTTTAAAAAACTCTACCACTAATGTAATAAGGAATAGATGAGATAATGATTTTTCAGCATCTCCTTGGTAGTTTTTTCAACAAGAGTAACGGAGATCAAGCATGAAGTTTAGCTTCGTTTTTTTTTTTCCACATAGAACATGTATTTGCAAAAAAAAAAGTTGTTGTTCTGAGGAGTTTAGGCTAGAAAGTTTTTTTTTTTTTGGGGAGTTGGCTTAAATCTTCCAGAGCGATCCTTTTGAAGGTTTTAGAGCGTGAGTTTGCATGAAAACAACTATATATATATATATATATATATATATATATATTGATTAATTTTAATAATATTTTTATTATGGATTTGTTTTGAATAATTTTTCTCTATTGTTAATTTTAGGTTCAAGCTTATAAATTTCGATGTTGAACAATCTATTTTTGCTAATGCAGTTATTATAATAAGTGTTAATAAGCAATTGATTGAATATTTATAAGATAAAAATGAGAAAGTTCCAATAATAGAATTTGATTCAATTATCAATTTTTTTTAAAAATAATTAACACAGAAACTATTCTTGAATTTTTAAAAGAAAAATCAGCCTAGCCATAACTTTGGATGTTACACACATTTATATTGATTTGTATTAGATTTATTAAGTAATAAACAACAGTCTCGAAAGATAATTTATTTAAATAAATTTACTAGGATAAATATGAATCATAAAATTAAGAAAATAAATAAAGTATTTAAAATGATTTGAGGGATAATTTTGTATTTACATTACTTATCTCATGGTATTATATCCTATGTATTACTAATACCTTCAAATGAAAGGTATCAGGAATACATCCTATAATATCACGTAGGAGAATTAGTTATTCATAGACTCAAATTTCTACCAAACATAATACTAAATAGTACCTTAGATAATAGTTACGGTCCCGTAAAGTTGTCTACATATTTCACTTAGACACCTCAACATATTCATTTTCCTATTAGACATAAATAAATATCTATCAAACATTTTTATGATACCTAGTTAAAAAATAAAGTGCATGCAACACAAACGCAGTTGATGTGGCAAAACAACAAATTAAACTAGGACATGTGGCATTTTAATTTAATTATCTTAAATAAATGAAATTAAAATACAAAAAAATCTAAATCTAAAAAGTAAGAGAGTTTCAACCAGGAAAAAAAAGATGAAAAATCCACCTCACCCCCACCCACCCCAAACCTCCCCCTTCTCTTTCCCCGAAAGATATCCCTTGTCCACCGTTGTTGTTGTTCATCTATAAAAAAAGTGGAGATTTTAACATATACTAACTACGAATTTTTCATTTTGTTTCTCTTTATCCCGTCTTTTTGTTCCTATTTGAAATTGATGTTATTTTTTTACAAAAAATATGTTCTTCCTTATTAATTTTGATTTCGAATTTTGTTTCTACTTTGTTGTGGAAGAAGAAGGGATGGTGTATGCGGTCTCCATTTTTTCTGGTAAGGAGATGTGGATGGTAGCCTTCGTTTTTTCCAGCAAAAAAATATGGATGGTGGTATCCACTTTTTCCAACAAAAAAGATGTCAAGATATAATTCTAAATCTGAAAAATTAGAACAAAGGAAAAAAATGAAGAGGTGTCCTTGTGTATGATAATGCTGGGGTTCATCTGCTCCAATTGAGAATTACTATTAACAAAATAAAAATATGATAAAACAATATATTAAGGCTTGGAATGTAAGGAATAAAGTGATGTTTGGATTTCTTATTGCCTTGAAATTCTTAGCAAATTTAAGTATAAACCTAGAAGAAGTAAATTTGTAAAAATGTCAATGGTGGATTGTTACGAAGAAATAGGAGCAGCAGGGGTGTGCAAAAAGGGAGGATTTGAAAAGATTGTTATTTTCTTAAAAAAATAATGCTAAAAAAAGTTTGAAAATGTGTTGATTAAATGATTCATGCGGTCAATAAGGCGTGAATCACACTTTTTTGCCACATGTGCACAACGTGTTTAAATGGTTCAAATTTAGAATAGTTCAGGTGTTCAATAGGTATAAGTCCTAGTTATAGTGTTTAAGTGGATTATACGAACAACTTTAAGGGGTCGTCTATGACTTAAACTTTACATAATACATGGAAGAAAATCCTTGAGCTATTAAGTGGGTTTTTCAATATTTACTCATGGCATAATACATAAATGTGGAGTTTTTGGCCAAAAACATCCTTGTATTATATCCCAAATTTAAACTACATCCTTAAAGTATAATTCTTATCAGAAAACATCCTCCAAGAATTTAAAAGTGAACAATTTTCATCCTTCTATTAGATATCATAAAAAAAACTAACCAATCCTACAAAAATATGAGCAGTTTACGTGATTATCAACAAAATTTTTAGATAATTTCATTACTTGCTATAAATTTTTTTAAAAAAGATATTTAAAATCTTAGAAATCATTGCTTATTAAAACAAAAATATTTGAATGGTGTGATGATAACATGATCTGCTCTTTTTCTCATTTAGTAACGGAAAGAAGCTAGAGCTTGATTATTATCTTTACTTTTTTCAAACAAATATTGTATTTTGATCAATAAGTTTTTGAGTCATTCTGATAGTGAAGTGAACAAAATATTGAGTACGTCTTGTATTTGAGTTTTATTCTACATTATTAGAAGCGGAAGTCTCCAACAAATGTCGCTTCTAGCATATTCAATTGAGAAGAAACATATAGATTCCAAATACAATGAATTTCAATAATATTTTTTGTTTGAAAGTAGAATTCTTTTATGTAATATAGATACCTAAATATTTAATTGATAATATTCTTAATATCTAATTACATGAAAATTATGGTGTATCTGAAAATAATAATCACGAAGGAATGACTTGATTTTTGTGGGATCTGTTAGTTTTCTGATAAATTCAAATACAAGGATGAAAATTGTTCACTTTTAAATACTTAAAGAATGTTTTCCGCTAAGAATGATATTATAAGGATGTAGTCTAAATTTGGGGTATAGTTTAAGGATGATTTTGGCCAAAAACTCTATAAATGTGTCCTTTAACTTGACTTCGAATTACATTTATGTCTTTTAATTTTGGGTGTGCACAAGTAGACACTTAAACTTGTATAGAGTTGAACAAATAAACACGCATGTCCTACATGCCATTTTTTGTCTTACGTGGTGTCCTATGTGTATTGCTTCATGTAGGACTCATGTGTTTATTTATTTAAAAGTTGAACAGTTAAAGTGTCTATTTGTGCATTATGAAAGTTGGATGTCAAAATTAAAATTTAAAGCCAAGTTAAAGATCCAATATATGTATTATTTCTTTATTCATTGTTGCTTATCATAACATATTTCGTTTGGCTTTTGAAATGTTCATATTTCGTTTGGCTTTTGAAATGTTCAGCTGGTTTCTTTCAATTCTAGAAACGTTAACCACCGTTTGGGCGTGTTTGGTATGGAGTTTGAAAAATGTTTTTCAATTTTTTCTGATTTGATTGATAAAAAATTCTTGAAAAATATTTCCCTTAAAAATAAGGAAAATAATTTTTCTTGCGAAAATAGAAAAACAAAATGCATGCTACAAATCTATAAATGTGTACAATTTAAATACAACAAATCAGTAATATATACATTAGGATTATCAACTCAAATTGCGTACTCCATCTATCCCAAAACAAGTATTCAAATTCATCCCCCGTATATCATAAATATTCATCATCATACTTGTCAACAAGTATATTGATGATTAATTGATAGAAATTTCAATAAGCAAAAGTATATCAAGCCATGAGATATTTTAAAATTCGAAATCAACATAATTGTAGAATATTCAAACAATCTATATAAACATCATTATTCAATCAATAAAAGATAGAGACGGTAAATAAATCCGAAATGAAATTTCCTAAAGAAAAAAATAGCAAGTCAAAACTCTATTTGTGATTTAAACTTCAATGCTTGTTATGAAAAATAATTTGTTCAATTTCCTGTTATTTTACTTCGATTTTAGGTATGAGAATATCTTGCATGTGATGAATTTGAAATTTTGGATGTGAAATCTTCAAAATCGAAATCATTAACTTATTTTCAATCTAATATTAGATTTTACACCATTTTGGTGTAACACTATTTATTGCACTAATTCACTTTTTGAATATTTAATATTATTCATTTTACAAAACTTTTAATTAAACATTATATAATTATATATTTTAATTAAATCTCTTGTATAATATTAGTTTTAGATAAATAAATTAATTTTTCATACGTGACTACTTTTTTTTAGAAATTAAATTTATGATAATTCTACTGTAAATTATAATTGAATTACAATTAACCTTTACAAAAATTAAAAATGTAAACATATAAATTATTAAACAAATAATATAATGTACTTAAAATAACCAAAAATAACAAACATTCAACAAAGTAGTAATTAACATACATCAAAATTGAAATATAAAATACATCTCGTTTTAAAAAATACAACAAAACAATAATAATTTTAAAAAAATTACAACAAGAATTTAATAATCTTGAAAGTTTAGTTATGTAAAATTTAAAATAATTTTTTTCAATTATATAATGTTTATTTAATTGTATCTCATTAATTATTTCACTTTTATTTATATTTTTGTTATTATGTATAATGTATAATGTTTCCTGGCAATTTATATTATTTAAAAATTATATTATAAAATAATTTTATATTAAACGACTATAAAGGTAAATGATATGAACTATACATAGTGAATGTTTTTGAAAAAGTTATTTCATGATATAAGAAAATACAAATGAAATATAATAATATAATAATGAAAAGAGAGAAATATTATCTTTTGGTGTAAAATTTGATGTTTGGATGAAAGATGCCTTAACTTAATTTTTGATAAAAAAAATTTAAAAATTTATTTATTTTAAAAATACTAAAATTCTTTTTGATAATAACTGTTTTTTTCTTTACAAAATATCATATGGTTAACCAAAGATATGGACATCGTAGAGATTCTTGTGAATTAATTTGAGAAATTTACAAATTAAAATAGAGAAATATTACAGGAGAGGATAAAAAGATGAAAGAAGAGATATTTTAGGAGAAGGGAAAATATTGAATATACAAAAAAAAGTTATGAATCATTATTTATTACTTTTATTGGATAAATTCTTTTGGCCATTTTATGTCATATTTTCAAAATTAAGCTAATAAGTAATACTCTACCAATTTCTTCTCTTAATTGGTACACCATGTCAAGTTTTCTTAGGCTTCATTTGTTTCTATTAAGATTAAGAAGTTTGTATCTAAATAAACATCTGAATATTAAGATTTATATTAAGATTTGAGTGCTTTGATCTAAATACACATCTAAATATTAAGACGTGGTCTCTAAATCTGAACACTAAATAATTAATGTTATTTTTTATAATATCTGAACGTGGAAGTGAAATTGAACATTATATTAATAAAATATCATAAAATTTTCATTCAACAAAATATATCACTTTTAATTTTAAAAAAAAGTTTTAGTAATCATGATTTTGGAGTAATATTTTTTTATTCAAAAACCTTGATAAACAACAATACACCAAAAAAATTATTGTAACTAGTGTTCTTGACAAATATCAATACAATAAAATTTTTCATAGAAATTCTTTTTGAAAGGATTTATGAAAATTTATCAAATGGGAAAAAATGATGTTTGATTGAAAAAGTGAGAAAGAAATTTTTTAGTTATGAGATAAATAGGCAAGCCAAAGTAGAGAAACTATGATTTATTATTTGATAACTCATCAAATGAGTCTGAATGCTGTTAAGAGTCTCCAACAGATCTGATTCATTCAGACCTCTTCAGACCCATTAAGAGGTTTTTTAAAAAATAAAACAAATGAACTTAATGGGTTGAGTATGAATGATTCAGATTCAGACCTAAAAACCAAACGTACTTAATGGACTGAATCTCAATGATTAAGATTTAGACCTCCATTAAGTGCAAACAAATAAGACCTTAGTCCCATTGTCAAACCTCTCACTTTTTTTTGTCACCTAGTGTTCAGAGTCCTTAGAGCTCTGACTAAATTCGAATTGCGTATTGCAGAATTGATTCGGGGGTGACGCTCCCAACAAAATTTTCTCCAAATTTTCTCCATGCCCAGAACTTAAATGACAAAATGTCTGGTTAAAGTTGAAATACTCCCGCCAGTGCACCACAATTCATGTTAGGTTTTAAACCTCTACATATCGCTAAGGCCTACAAGAAAAAATGCCGTTGTGCAAAGGCCTTTTTTTGTGGACCTCTTTAAACTCTCCTTGTTAATCTAATGAGTTAAATTTGGGGAAATTTTACAAATAATCACTATAATAAACTTAATTATAATCCAAAGCGCTAGTTTACATATTTATGAGATATAGCTATAATTTAAAAACTGCATTATTTGTATAATTCACGGAATTATATAATTCGAGTTTGTATAATTTGCGGTACAGTTGTATAATTGCATTATATTTATATAATCTCAAAATAATAAATCTATACAAACACAAGTATCAAAACTTTAAACAATTATTCAATATATTATACAAAATTACTTATATAAATTATATTTTATACAAATTTCAAATCACGAAAATATAATACAAACTCAAAACTCAGCTCAGATAATTATCATTGAATATTTAATTAACTAATATATATTTATTTTAACAATGTAGTTTTTCCTTAAATTTCACCCTTAAAAAAGCAGTTGCTGAATGGAGTAATTTTTTTTTCTTTTAGCTCACAAATTTAACCAATAGATTTAAAAGTGACCTAAAAAGAGACATTTGTGCAGAGGGCGCCGGTTTGCTGCCCCAAAGACAAAAAAGAAGACTGAAATTGAAGAGTCTGTTACTGTTAGCTCTCTCTCTACCGTCATATGCTCAAAAACACAACCATAAGGACCCGCCGCCGGTGGTCCTCTCATTTCATAACAACGCCATTCTCCATTCTAGGATGACCAAGCATAGACTTGGACTGCACACTCGTTTGTGCTTCCATCTTTCAAGAACAAAGAGACCTTTAACTACTTCCCCTTTACCTTCGGAAGCGATATCATGTGTTCACACTTCCCCACTTAATCACAAGACCTTGTGTTTTTCACTTGCAGCGAATTTAATAGTTCGTGGGTTGTTCGATTCAGCTCAGAAAGTAATACGGAGAATCATCAAGCATTCCTCATCAGTTCCTGAAGCTATCTCTGCTGTTGAATTTTCTATTTCTCGTGGAGTTGAGCCTGATGTAACTAGCTATGCTTTTCTCATTCGGCAACTCGTGACATCTGGAGAAACCCTGAAGGCTGAGGCTCTCTATGTAGATTGCATTTTGAACAGAGGTATTGAGCCGAACCATTCTCTATTAAATTCCATGGCGATTTGTTATTGTAATTTGGGTAAATTGGAGGAAGCTAAGTTGCTTTTTGATAAACTTGTGGATATGAAGTTGATGCCTTGTAGTAGCACGTGTAATGAGCTTATTAAAGGATTTTGTGGCCAAGATAGAATCTTGGATGGATTTGATGTTTTTGTTGAAGCTATTAATTCTGAGGTATTACTGGCTTTCAGTTGTTACAATAAGTTAGTGGATATTTTGTGCTTCCAAGGGTACTTAGATGAAGCACTCTATGTGTTTGACGAAATGTGTGATAGAGGGGTACCACCCACAGTTCATTTGTTTAAAAGATTGATTCTTTCGTTGTCTAAGAGAGGCAGAGTTGAGGAAGCGCAATTGTTGAGCATGGATATGGAATCTTATGGTTTTGTTTTGGATAAAGTCATGTACACAACTCTCATCAACGGTTATTCCAAGATCCAGAAAATGAAAACGGCTATGATGTTATTTCTCAGAATGCGTAAGTTGGGCTGTGAACCGGATAAGTATACTTACAACACGCTGATCAATGGGTTCATAAACTTGGGCATGTTCGACAAGGGTTGGATGCTGAATCAGCAGATGGTTGAATTTGGATTAGAACCTGATGCAGTAAGTTACCAAATCATGATTGCCAAGTATTGCAAGGAACATAAAGTTGATTGCGCATTGACGCTATTGGATGACATTAATCAGTGGAATGTTCCTCCCAGTGTTCACTCTTATACTGCTTTGATCTCTGCACTTTATAAAGAGAATCGGTTAGCTGAAGTAGATGACTTATACAGGAAGATGTTGTACACTGGATTGGTTCCTGACCATGTTCTGTTTTTTACCTTGATCAGCAATCATCCAAGAGGGTCAGAGATTAGTCTAGCATGCACATTTTTGCGGGCTATTGCCAAGAACGGTTGTGGTATTGACCCCTCTTTCATCCCCAGTCCTACCAGTCGTAAAGTTACTACAGATATCATGCTTGATATTGATTGTCTCTTGGGAGAAATTGCGGCAAGAAACTTACCTCTGGCTTGTGTTGCTTTCAATATATATATGATTGCTTTGTGTCTTGGAGGAGAACTTGATTCTGCTCAGCTTTGCATGGACAAGATGTCAAGCCTTTCTCTTCAGCCTTCACTATCAGCTTATAATTCCATGATCAAGTGCCTTTACCAAAAGGGACTACATGAGGATGCCAAGTTACTTGTTGAAGTTATGCAAGATCAAGGTCAAGTTCCAAATCAAGCAACATTCTTGATTATGGTAAATGAATACTGTAAACAGGGTGACATACAATCAGCATTAGAAGTGCTGGACCAAATGGAAGAGAGTGGATTGAAGCCTAGTGTTGCTATATATGATTCCGTCATTGGGTGTTTGGGTAGAAAAAAGAGAATAGATGAGGCCCTTGGAGTTTTCCGGAGAATGCTCGAGACTGGAATTTATCCTGATAAAACTTTGTTTGTGACAATGATTAATGCTCTATCAAGAAATGGGCGAGCTATTCAGGCCCATGAGCTCTTCGTTACAATGTTGGAAGATGGAGTTCAACCAAGCCACAATGCTTATACTGCTCTTATAAATGGGTTAGTTAAGAAAAACATGATAGAGAAGGGCTGTGTTTACCTCAAGCAAATGATAGAAGAGGGTTTCATGCCAAATACTGTTCTTTATACTTCTCTTATAAAACAATTCTTAAGGAAGAGAGAGTTTGAATTCGCATTAAAGTTGGTTGATTTAATGGAAAGAAGTGAGGTTGAGCGAGACTTGGTAACTTATATTACTTTGGTCAGTGGCGTTTCTAGAAATATTAGGTCAGTCAATGAGAAAGGGCTTGTTCCACAGAGACGGTATGAAGAATCTAAGGAAATGTTGTTCCGCCTACTTCATCAGAGTGCTATGTTGCCTAAGGAAAAATGTTTGAAAATCTCAGTTAACTCTCAGGAACAAATAAAATTTCTTGCACTTCGGCTGATAAATAAAGTGAAGGCAACTCCCCTAATGCCAAATTTGTACTTATATAATGGCATAATTTCTGGGTTTTGCTGGGCAGAGAGTATGAAAGATGCATACAAGCACCTTCATACGATGCAAAATGAAGGCATCCTACCAAATCAAGTTACTTTTACCATTCTAATTGATGGGCATTTCCGAAGTGGTGAAATTAATTGTGCTGTTAGTCTTTTCAACAGAATGAATGCGCAGGGTTGTCCTCCAGATAACATCGTCTACAACACTTTAATTAGAGGTCTATGCAAGCACGGAAGGCTCATGGATGCTCTATCACTCTCATATACTATGCTCAAAAAAGGACTGGCCCCTTCTAAGGCATCATATGAAAGTCTTCTCAGTTCTCTTTGTGCTAGTAATTGGAGAGTTCATGCACTGAAGATATGTCACGATATGCTTGCCAATAAATATGTCCCTTGTGGCCATAATCTGAAATTGTTGATTTGTATACTGGGAGAAGAAAATAAGTGGCACGAAGCTCGTTTTATGTATGATTTGCTTCTTAAGAAAGAAAATTTATGATGACACAATCTTAGAGGCTGGGTATGATCTCTCTGATATTGTTGGGCTTCCTTCCCTTGTCTGTGTATCAACAGAATATGGACTTTTTTATGGAGCTGCACATTGTAGCTTGTGTCCACTCAGAATTCCATTTATTATTTGTTGTAAGCCACCGTCTCTCTGTATTTCTTAACTCTATTGTTCTGCGTACAGTTCTAGTTAGTATATTATCCTCTGATGACCTATTGACCTGGAGATTCTGAGGTGTACATAATCCTATTTGTTATTCCTTTTTCAGGAATATGATAAGCGGCTCCTATGTACTGGTCGTGTCTAATTTGTGAAGTGATTGTACGCTATGCACAGTTGACAACCTTTAGGTAATCCTGGATATGTGTGTTCTCCTAATTATTCATGTTTAGATTTTTGGATAAACTACATAGGCACCCAAATAGATCAACACAAGTTAGTGGATAAATTCTGCCACTGGGAAGAAGACTAGATACTGAACAAAATGTAAATCTTATAGAGGCGTATATTGAATGCTTAATTAATTTGATTTGTTTTTCTTTTTAAAAAGAGGAGTCTCTTTTACTTATTTTCGTTATTTCAGTTTTGTCACATTTATTTCTTTTCCTGATCCTGAATTGCAGCAAAGCTCTGCGAGTTCAGAGGCAACAGAAAAAGAAGTGTCAATCTCAGATGAAAGAGTTGGCATACATTTGTCAGTAAATAAAGAATCCTCTGGATGGTATGTGCTTTACAAACTCATTGTTGAAGGCCTCATATTTGACAGAAAGGCAGAACCAAGTATCTAGAGGCAAGTGCTGCTTGTGGGAGGCAGATGTCTAAGATCACCTGAATGTTGCTGTTGAAAACATTTGAGGACATGGTTCACTGACCATTGAGATAGAAGAGTTTTTCTTGGGAGTGTAATGGAATGCTGTTGTTGCAAGTTTATGTTGTTGCTGACAGAATGTATTATCCGGAATATTTCAGAGGAAATTAAGCCATAATAGTCTATGGCGACTAAAATCAACAGGTCCCGTCAGATTTGTTGCTGGACATCTTACTCTATGCACCATCACCTGATGGTGAATATCCAACTTTGATCAAGTATAAGCAAATATCTGACGAAATAACTGTGGGGACTACTGAATTAAGGTACATTCTGTAATTCTCTCTTCCTTTTTTCTTTAAAATCAATTGCTTCGTTGGCATATGAGTTATGAGTTATATTAACATGTTAATTTCACGTGTGGTCACTAAACTTTAACCCCTGTATTTGTATAGTCATAAACTTTTTTTTAATGCTATGGGGGAAGGGCAATAATTTTTGTCGTGGACAAAATAAAAAGTCGTTCCAGATTGAAATACCTAGTCTTCTTCCCACACCTAAGCATTCTTTTTCTTTTTCTTTTTCATTTTAGTTTTGTGGAATTTATTATTTTCTTAATGATTCCGTTTGTTGAATTCGAAAATAAGGACAAATGTGTGTTAGTCTATAACATCGATAGCGTGATTGACTCCAACCATTATCGGACGGCGTTGTCAATCTTTTGTTGAATGAACCTCAAATTGATAGTCTTGCTATTAAAATGGAGAGTAGACAAATTACATCCTAAAGATCCGTTATTCCCATCCCTAAATATCAGCTATTTTATCCCTCTATATCTGATATATTATCCCTCCAAATCTGCTGTTCCATTACAATATTTATTCTCTTTGTTACTACAATAAATCTCTATGATTACAGTTGGGTCATAATATTATCTGCACATTGTGTGAGTTTCTAACTAGTAAAATGAAATAAGAGCAATGAATTGTCTCCATTTCAATACTCATAGACTTGGCATTTACAGCTGGTTTTGCAGGGACACTAAGAAACTAACATTAAAGAGGATACAGATATCGTCTGTTTACAGCAGCAACGACGACACCAGATCAGAGAGACTAAGCCATCCGATTCATTCAAACCCTCACGATTGCGATCTTTATCCTCTCCCCACATTCGTAATACCTTGCTCTGAGAAGTCTCTTATCTCCGTTGATCTGTGCTCTGCTGCTTTGTAATTTCATTTTCCCCACCTAGTAGCCCTACTAAACATGGCTTCGATATTAAGTGAGTTAAGGTCATGACTATCTGTTGTGGTTTGCTTACTGTTATTATAGTATTTTTGTATTAAAGTGTGCATCAACAATAATTATTATGTCATCAATGTCTTGAGCAGTGACATTGCAGAAGAGTCATAACATAAAGTAGACAAAGGCAAACAGTCATTCTGTCCTTTGTTTATGTCTAGCAAGTAGCAACTTTCTAAATATTTGTTTATTTCCCCGTTTCAAAATTTTGACCAAGCTGTTGTGCATCTTGTTTCACTTGACTGCAAGTTTACCATTGACTCCATGGAGTGTTTATGGTGTTTCGAGTCGTCATTATAAATAAAAAGTCATTATATTTGGATAACTTGTTCAACTATATATATTGGGATAACTTATTCCATCACTATGGTATAAATGGTGGGATAAGTTATCTCAAATATGACAATCAAACAAGACATTAAATTTTTATCCCAGGACTATTTACTTTTATCCCTCACACCAAACTACCCTATTGCGCTATTTGGTTCGCATTATCGCCTGATTAATTAGACGAAATCTGCGGTCAGGGACTTGTTACCTCGCTCAGCTCAATCAGTAATATGAGATGTGGTCTGTAAAACATCTCATTTTCTTCTCTTAATTAACCTTTCAATGACTTATTGACTGTTCTTCACCAACTATTAAAAATTGATTTTCCTTTCTAACTGAACTACAACAACTCTCTATAAATGCATGTTTTTCATGTTTTATCTAATCTAATAAACATATCTCTGAGTGTTAAACAATAAAATATGATCTGAAATAGTTTCTCTAGTTAGTAGGGGTTTGCTCTTGTGGTTGGGGTGTGTAAAATTCGAATCAACGATAAATCGAATTGAAAAAAATGTTATTAATTTATTGTTATTGACTTATTGGGTTAATCATTATTTAAGAATCAAACTATTCGAAATACTTACTTGTTTCCCCAAGCAAATTCGCTATGCAATGTGCCCGGGGTTAGTTTTATTAATAAAGAGAAAAAAATCTCAAAGAGAAAAGTACAAGCAAGGGGAGCTAGATCTTAGCTTACTAACAATCGGTGATGATACTATAAACGAGGATACTTAAGTAACGCAAAAATACAAAATCTAAGAATAAAGCTTAGTTATCAACCTCAAACTTTATTTTATATATGTAAGAATTAAAAGAGAGATTGCCGTGTAATGTAACCTAAAATATTTCCTTCTTGTCTTCTTCTTCAAATATGTCCAACAAAACTTGATAGTCCATCACTTCTTTTTGGATTGACTGGATCGTGTTGTTGAAACTTGTAAAGGACAGGCTTCTTAGATATAGATTCCTAGTATATCTAAACTATGTAAAAGGTTAAGTTGTGATGTCTAAGGACACTACTTCTCGTATGTTTCGTCGCTATTTTTGGTTTCTTATATATTCATTATTGTAGTACATATTTTACACAATGAATAAAGAACTCTTTCATGGTATCAAAGTCTTTTGGTTTAACAATCATTTTTTTTTCCGTTCTAAATCAATATAATCAGAAACGACTTATCCTAATTGGAGAAACTGATGCATTTCAACGAATGCTATGGAAAGCTATTTTCCTACGCCTAATCTCACTCACCAGTTGCCTGTGAAGCTCTTCCAATAATTTGTGGTTGTGGTCTTAACCATTATATTGATGGCAGTGAACCAGTACCATCTCACGTTTTGGATGGTGAAACCAAATCCTGCATATAAGGTTTGGGTGCGTCAAGATCAACTCGTCTTCAGTTGAATAGTTGCTTCAGTTTCAGAGAACATTCTCTCTCAATTGTTCGGAGCAGAAACAAATCATGCGGCTTGGGAAAAAGTTGTAGTAGCCTATGCCATTGGGTCTAAACCACTGATTCGAGAACTTAAGGCGCAGTTACACAACTTGCATCGTGATAATGTTAATATTGAATGTTATGTGCAAGGAGCAAAAGTGATTGCTGATAGCTACCTTGCAGCACCCAGTCACTAATGATGACTTAGTGGAGTTTGTTCTTGCTGGATTAAGCCCTGCCTATTGCCCCTTCACAAGGTCGCTTGAATCACTTCATGACGACGTTAACTTTGATGCGCTTAATGGTATGTTGTTGAATGAAGAAAGACAATTAAAACGTGAAGATGCTAATATTGTTATTGCCCCCAACGGCACAATACACGCAAAGTTCAATCTCTACAAAACGTGGACGCGGTAGAGGGCGTACTAGTCGAGGTCGTGGACACTATTCTGACCATGGAAGTTCACCACAACTCATTCAGGAACCTACTCTGGAAATCCACCATCTTCCTCTGATTTTTCTGGAATTGTTTGTTATAAATTGTGAAGGTAAGGGTCCCATTGCATGTGTTTGTCCGACACCCAGGACTGCGAACGGGAACTCGGGTATCTGGACATCCCTCTTCAAAACTAGCTAGAACTTCTTCCTTAGCGGCACAAAATTGGTTGATGGGTAGTTGTACCACGCATCGTCGGACATCTGATATCGACAATCTTGCAATTCACTCATAATATCATGGTCCCGAAGAAGTTACACTAGGTAATGGTTCCAAATTGCCCATATCTCATATTGGTAAAGGATCTTTATTTATTTTCGATAAGTCGAGTGATTTGATAGTCTTCTTCATGTTCCCGCTGCTACCCAAAATTTACTATCTATTAGTGTCCATTGAATTTTTTCCAAACTTTTTTTTAATAAGGACTTGGAAACAAGGGCAACACTTCACAAAGGACCAAATAATGGAGGTTTTTATTCCCTTCCGATGTGGAAGTCAATTTATTCACCAGCTTCATATGCAACTTCACTTGGTGTTTAACATGCGCATTTGGCTCAAGTATCCTATCCTACCGTTCATCGTGCTTTACCATCTAATACTTTTATTTCATCTAGTTATGGGTCTTCTAGCTTGTGTCCAACTTATGCTGTTAACAAGAGTCATAAAATTCCATTTGTTGAGTCTAGTTTTCAAGCGACAGGCCCTTTAGATTTGATTTGTTCGAATGTTTAGGGTCCATCCCCTGTTATTTCGAATGATGAATATAAATATTATTTTATTTTCTTTGATCACTATAGCAAATATACCTGGATCTATTTTCTTAAATTCAAATTTAAGGTTCTTTATGTTTTTATTCAATTTTGAAAATTTGTGGAAAAATACTTTAGTCGTCCAATTAAAAGCTTTCATGCAGATTGGGGAGGAAAATGTCAAGCATTAACCTCATATTTAAGAGACATTTGTATTACACAACGTTCTTCTTGTCCTTAAACCCCAGAACAAAATGGTTGTGTTGAATATAAACATCGACATATTGTTGAGATGGGTCGTGCCTTATTAACGCATGCAAGTGTCTTTCCAAATTTCGGACAAATGCTTTTGATACTGCTATTTATATTATAAATAGATTACCGACTCCCCGTCTAAATAATCAGCCTCCATATAGTATCCTTTTAATTGTGACCTTGATTACTCTGTGTTGTGTGTGTTTGGTTATCTTTGCTTTCCATGGCTTCGCCCTTATACGAAGGATAAGTTATCCCCTCATTCTAAGAGGTGTGTGTTTTTGGGGTATAACAAAATTCATAAAGGTTATAAGTGCTTTGATCCTACTTCTTCTAAATTTTTTGTCTCCCTTCATGTTGTTTTTGACGAAACGATTTTTCCATTTGCTACTCAAGATGACGCTATGGTGCCTACTACATGAACCGATGACACCCCCTTACCTTCTCTACTTCCACAACCAATTTTATCTACGCAATCTCAGGCCCCTCTACAATCGCATGTTATGCCTACAACTGCACTTTCTTTATCTTTGGAGATTTCGTCAAATGCATTGCCTAATGAAGGTAGGAGTCCAGTTGTTGATTTTGAACAATATGACCCTTTGAGTGACGTGCATCCCCTAACAAACTGTCATGCTCTTCATCTAAGTCTCATCCGATGACTACTCGATCACAAACAGGTTCCTTAAAATCGAAGCGCCCCACCTCTTACTTAGCTATGACAACTGATGTAGTTGAGCCCTCTTGTTACTTTCAAGATACGAAGTACGCGCATTGGCGTTGGGCGATGCAAAAGGAATACAATGCTCTCTTACAAAATGGGACTTGGCAGTTAGTACCACCTTTTCCGTCTCAAAATATTATTGGGAGTAAATGGGTTTTAAAACAAAGGTTAAGCCTGATGGGTCCGTTGATCGTCACAAGGCTTGACTTGTTGTAAAAGGGTATCATCAAAAGGCCGGGTGTGGACTATGTTGATATTTTTAGTCTAGTCATGAAACCTGCCACCATTCGCCTTCTTCTTTCCTTGACAGTCTCTAATAACTGGCATATTACTCAGTTAGATATCTTTAATGTTTTTCTTCACTGCACCATTGACGAAGTGGTCTACATGTCGCAACCTCTTGGGTTTGTTGATCTAGATCGTCCTGAGCATGTTTGCTTGCTCAAGCGTTCTCTTTATGGGATCAAACAAGCTCCGCAAATATGGAATAAATGTTTAATAGACGCTTCGCTCTCTTATGGCTTTACGGGCTCAAAAATAGATTGTTCATTATTTTATATCTCCTCCAATGGTGATAAAATATTCTTTTGGGTGTATGTTGATGACCTTCTTGTTTTAGGCTCTAGTTCGTCTCTTGTTGGATCTGTTATTACTTGCCTAAGTCACTATTTGTTGTGCGAGACCTTGATCGCCTCTCTTATTTATGGGGATTGAAGCATCATGGACACCTACTGGTTTGCATCTTACTCAACATCGTTATGCTACTAATTTGTTGCGGAAAGCACAAATGGATGGCTACAACCATATTTCCAACACCTGCTGCATCTTCGTCTAAACTCTCAAGTTTTTATGGAACTCTTTTTCACAATGAGACCTTGTATTGCAACACTGTAAGACCCCTAGAATATTTAACATTCACTCGTCTTGATATAGCATTTGCGGTGAATAAGGTTTCCCAAATCATGCATAGTCCTAGAGAGTCCCACTGGATTGCTATAAGACAAATTTTTCGATATATGTAGTCCACATCCTCCTATAGTTTATTCTTTGCTAGCCAAAATACCAAACTTCTACATGGTTACAGTGCTGCAGATTGGGGTGGTTCGCTAGATGATCTTAAGTCCTCTACCGGTTTCGCTATATTCCTTAGTTCTCATCTAATGTCTTAGGCTTCCAAAAAGCAGCGAGCAGTTGCGCATTCTAGTCCAAAGGCAGAGTA